TTATCATCTTGCGGACCCCAACCAGGTAGTCGACAATTACTGACATGGCTCAGTCCACTTGTCAATGACTTCATGGATTTATGCCATGTTTTGGTTTGGCCGCCCCTAATGTTCTTCCAACTCACCCCCTACACTACAAAACAAAGCTCGTCGAGGCAGTCGGTGGTTGTGCATGCGTAACACATGTTCCAACCACCTCACAACTGATGAAGTTTCACCACTTCATCTATTGATCTGCCATTGTTATCTAGCACCCGTTTCCTAACCACAGCATTGCTTACTCCGTTGTCCCACGATATACGAGCAATGCTTCTTAAACATCTATGATCGAATACTAGTAACCTACGAATATCTTCTATTCTCACTTACCATGTTTCACAGCCATAAAGTAAGACCGACCGAACTAGTGCTCAGTACACTCGTCCTTTAGTCAGCAAACGGATATCTCGCCTACGCCATAAGTGACGCAGGTCCGCAAAAGCCAATCGAGCCTTTTGTATCCGTGCTGAGATTTCATCAGTCACCAGGCCATCAGCACTGATGAGACTCCTAAGATAAGTGAAGCAGTAATAGAGCTCGAATCCAAACATAAGCGATCAACTATATTTTTCATAACACCATCAGCGCATACAACGAATGCGACATACACACTCACGCACACGCACACACACTCACACATACACATTATCAACATAAAACACAACCAACGAACTTACGGATTCTCTTCAGTATATGGAACAGCTTTATTCAATTTAATCGGCTGATGTTCGAAAAATGTCGCATTAGTTGGTGTTGGTGTTGGCGTTGCATTAGTATTCTGTTTATTCGGTGATGTTGCTGTTGATAATGATGAAGAGAATGTGGATGAAGTAAATTTATCGATCGATTGTTGTTTAATTGGTGAATTATCACTACTATTACTACTATTTGTAGTAGTAGTAGTATTAGTAGTAGCAGCAGCAGTATTCGTTGTTGGCGTAGTTAATGAACTGAAAAATTAACGTAAAAAAACAAGGAGAAGCGTTTAACATAAAAAAGATGATCATAACTACAAGATAAAAACACTAGCAGAAGTGATGAGTGGTTAGTAGTGTGGCATTCAAGGCAGCATGTTTGTGGTGTAGGAATAGGTTGGAAGAAAGTTAGGGATGGCCAAACCAAAACATGACAGAAATCCATGAAGTCACTACTGACAAGTGGACTAAGTCATGTTGGTAGGTGCTGACTACTTGGTTGGGGTCCACGAGATAATAGTAACCGATGGTTAGAGACCTTGAATGACATAGCTCAAAATTGTTTGCAATGGCACAGGTACATTCATACTTAGTGTTCTCTCAAATCCTAATCTTCTGGATTCTACATCACCTTTATCTTTCTCTTATTAAGTTTATTTCACTAGATTCTATTTCTTGAATAATATCTTCTAACCATAATCTCTCCGATTACTGCTCAAACTTCTACTACCTCCACTGGCATGGGATTTGAATTGACAATTGTGTCTCTGTGCTAATGTGGTATGGCAACATGAACTGATGTACGTATGTACGTACGAAGTTCCACGTTGCTATTGATAGATTGATTGAGCACGTTTTGGAATAGTTGACAGTCATCAGATGGATATGTACAAAGTTGATGGCCACTTCGGCATTCAAGTTCCATACCGGTCGATTCAAACACCATTTATTGAGTTCCGATAACAATTAGCTTGAACAATCAACTGAACAGTATTTGATTTGTATTGATCATTTGAATGCAGTCAATGACATTTACGGCTACGAACGGTACTCAGTTTGAATCCAGGAGTGAATATCAACTCTGAGACGCGAGTACATCCAGCTGACAAGTGTCGAATAGGATGAAACGCACATCTAGAAAGTTAACGTGTTAACCCCGTTCTTTAGGTGGTCTTATAGACGGAGATGGTAATTCGTGAGGTAAGGTGAGGTACGACATTTCCTAACTCCTCTCTTCTTTGTAAGAAAGCACGATCACTGTAGATGCTGATTGTCCGATGGACACATCTTACTGCTGTCACACGCTTCTACAATCAGCAAGTAAGACTTTGCTCTCAGACCTTAAGTTGCTGCTTTTAGTATTACCATTCTCCAATCGACCTGCCTGGCATGGGAGAACCTAAAAGAAACATATGTACCAGCCAATATAGGTCGGTTAGGTCATCACTATAGGCAAGCTCGACCACGACGTCAATGTAGCGGTTACAGTCCTCTCTCAAATTCTAATCTTTTGAATTCCTCATCACCTTCATATTTCTCTTCTCAAATTTATTTCACTAGGTTATATACTCCTTGAATAATATCTTGCGACCCTAATCTTTCCTGTTACTGCTCATACGTCTACTACATCAACCATTAAACAGACAATCGCATCTCTGTACTAATATGGTATGGCAACTTGAACTGATGTACGTACGTACTACGTTCTACGTCGTAGCTGACTTACTGATCATTGTATATCCGGAAGCACCGGAAGGTCGTTTCATTCTAGTATGGGACTCATTGCTAGTGCGTATCCACGAAGTCGCAAGCAGGAACTTAAGCCAGGATTTTCGATTGTAATTGAAAACTTCTGAAGAGTTCCATATCAAGACTAAAAGACTGTTTAGTAATTCTAGGTTACTAATGGTGGTCTAACATTGATTGATACATGATTTTAGCGAAACTCAGTATTATCCACAACCCTATACTGACTAAGTTATTTTACACCTGTTATCCATCGTAGACTGTAAACTGCCGACGAGGATTCTTCGAACAACACTGTTCTAACCAAGTGCTATTCATTCGCCTGAACTCCTACTAGAGATCTTCAAGGATTACTGCCAGTAATGAAAACTCGGATAACGGAGGGTCGGATATAGAGTCAGCAATCTCATCAAGAAGAAAACAACCTTTTCTAAAAATACACTAACCAGATAGATAGACAGAGAGAGAGAGAGAGAGCGAAACAATATAGCCTTACTTTGGTATATTCGACATTGGTGGTGCTCTAGATAATGGACATTTCAAATTCGGTGACTGTGATTCCGAACCAGTTGGACGTACTTTATCTGACATACTAAATGTATTCATACGTCGTACAGATAGATGATCAGTACCGCCTGAAGATTCCATTGTCATTTCGTTACTTTCATTAATTTTCTCTTGACCACGAGAATGATCCAAATGCGCGTCGTTACCACGTTCACGTAGATCAGACACACGAATACGTGGAAGTAGACGAGATCTACAAATGTATGCGATAAGGAAATCATATTATGCTAACGTGAACAAACAAACTAATTGAATACATATTCATAATAATAGTAATAATAATAATAATAATAATAATAATAATAATAATAATAATGCTAACAGATAAGAAATCAATCAGTTAAGCAGTGAAAGTGTTCTTCATTCCCTAAGACAACTGATAATAGTCAATCTGCCATTAGTAATGTATAGGCTAGAACATATAGACAACTATTCAACTTGCTATAGCACGTACACATAGACAGTCAGTTAGTTACAACGAAGAACTTCGCACGTATGTACATCAGTTGAAGTTGCCGTACCAACACCACATTAGCACAGGATATATGTAATACTTTCGTTTAGAAGATTGTGACATGTATTTTAAAAAAGCTGAGATAGAATATTAGTGGTTACAAATGAGACTAAAATCAACCACCCAAGGTTTGAGGGTGAAGTCATACTGTGGTGCGAGCTACTTATAAGTAGTATATGACGTGAGATGGGGGGAGATCAAGAAAGGAAGAGTTAGAACACAATGGAATTTGTATGAAACGCATGAATAGTGACAATGGATTGATGTTTGGCAACAGGAACAGTCCAGTTTGATATGATGGACTGATAATTTGCAAATGAACGATTTACGATATGGTTTTCCGATTTTACTGAGTAACTCTGTAATTTTCGTTAAATACAATTCGGTTGCCCCACCTGTGTTCTCATTCACTACAATGTGACGTATACATAGACAGTCAGTTAGTTACAACGAAGAACTTCGCGCGTAAGTACATCAGTTGAAGCACAGGATAGATGCAATACTTTCGTAATTAAAATTTTGACATGTATTTTAGAACAGCTGACAGAGAATGTGAGACTAAAATCGACAACTCAAGGTCTGAGGGTGAAGTCATACTGTGGTACGCACTACTTATCAGTAGTATATGACGCCAGTGTAAACGTAATGTCTGGCAGCAGATGATGGTGGAAGAAGATCAAGAAAGGAGGAAGAGTGAGAACACAATGGAATTTGTATGAAACGCATGAATAGTGAGTGAAATGTCAGACAATGGATTGATGATGGATTGAAGATTTGCAAATTAACCGTTTACGATATGGTTTTCCTATTTTACTGAGTAACTCTGTAATTTGCGATTAATACAATTTGGTTGCCCTCACCTGTGTTCTCCTTCACTACAATACTACTGACTGTAAAGGGGTGTAATCCAAGTAGTAAGGTATTTCCCTTAGGTAACAGGAGAAAAAGGTTAGAAAAGGTCGAGCCTAAAAATGTCATATTTCACCTTACGTCACCGAGTTCCGTCTCCATCGGTAAGACCATTTGACGAGCTCTGCGGTCACTATCACAGATTGCTAAGACCAACACTTATCCAACTTTTTTTTAAGAATCCTCAAGAAACACTCTTCCACGGTGTTGGTAGACGGGAGTTGACATACGCCCTCACACCCATGGCAGCAGACGAGACCAAATCGGTCACAATCAAATCCTGTCTCCATATTGTACAATTACAAATTCACGGTAACTTGACAGTTATAGAATAATCCACAATATTTGTAAGGATTTATATTTTTTTGCCGAGAATCCTGCAAGTAGCAGGATTCGTGGATTTGCGCTACTAATGTCATATACTATTGGGGATGCTACATTCCCAGAACAGACTTGACAAAGGTACTAATTTTGGATTTTTTGAGTTTTCGCGCATAAGCTGCTCAGTTGAGATTGAGATTATATTTCTTACTCAGAAAATCCTTGACTGTTATTGGTTGATGTATTCATTTTAGTATGCTAATTTTGTGACTCTCCCAAGGACATTTCTATGATGTATACATAAACTCAATTTGTGTGCTTAAAAACCTTGTATTTTCTGGATGCTTTGAGAATACACTTTCTACATCTTGTCAAAACATCTTCCTTCTACTTACTGGGGCCTTGAGACAGTCGGATTAGGGTACTTAGCCTGTAGTGAAGGAGAACACAGGTAAGGCAGCCGAATTGTATTTAACGACGAAAATTACAGAGTTACTCAGTAAAATTGGAAAACCATATCGTAAATCGTTCATTTGCAAAATATCAGTTCATCATATCGAACTGGACTGTTCCTGTTGCAAACAACATCAATCCATTGTCACTATTCAAGCGTTTCATACAAATTCCATTGTGTTCCCACTCTTCTTCCTTTCTTGATCTTCCCCCATCTTCTGCTGCCAGACATTACGTTGACACCCACGTCATATACTACTTATAAGTAGCTCGCACCACAAGCCTATCATGTCACTGGATCATTTGTCTTCACTTTCGTTTACCAACTAAGATGAACTCACAATAGTTTTCAAACAAATCAATTGACCGGCATAACATAGAATACTCAACTGGAACATGAAACTACTAATACAAGCCTTAATCACACACACACACACAAACAAACAAAAACACGCAACAACTCAAGATAAATGATACCAACAGTTAGTTCAGCGATAAATCAGAATTAACAAAAAAGCACCTTTTTGTTGTGTTTGACACAACTGACACAACAAAAGAAAACAATCAATAGTCAACAAACAAACCACAACAAAGATGGCCGTCTACACAAAACATACGGAGATAGACAGACACAAACACAGACACACACTGAGAGAAAAATATATATATCTATGTATAAATAGAAGGTATGTGACATGGTTTATGCACCAAAATAAACTAACTCTATAACACCAAATGTGTTTTTGTTTACAGGTATGCCATAGTTTTACAAAGAGAAAAAACAAAACAATTAGGGTTCTAGGTATCAATGTAACAATTTTACATTTGTAATTAATTCAAGTCGATGAAAACTCATAAAAATCGATCCATGATGTTAGACTAGTATGAATCATTAAGAAACCTGAATGAAAATGCACAAACGTTTCTTTCAAAGATGAAATTGATGAGTGATAGTTTGTATAGACGAATCCTGATACTCTCTTACAGGAATCGAACTTGATGACCATAGGTCTTAACGCTTAACCTCTAGATGCACACTGAGGCGACATCCACTAATGTGAATGTCTCTAACTTCGATCAATCCACAGTGTTGCACAACCTCATCCACACACACACACACAAAGGCAGTGAGTAACTTGTCATACCAGGACAACAAGATTAATTTACTGCATAAAATTATCAGGCTACTATATATAGATAGTAGCTCAGGTAGATGATTATAGTGAAGTTCACATTCTCTGAGTTGAATGTTTTGATTATGGCGATAACATCATTATCAGTATAAACTTTAAGTAGAGCAGTGCAGTACAAAAACGATTATTAGAATATCACTAACATTGATAATACTACTAATGTGTTAGACACTAACCAAGCAATATGGCTTATAAGTAGTATCATAAATAGCTGAATGTCAAGTACAAGTTATGACCGGAAAGTGTTAGATGTGTATGTATGAAGTGATTGAATTGATTTGAAGACATAAATGAAAGAACGATGTGCGAATGTAGAAATTTTCTTAGTAAACACTACTTTTTTCTCAATACACTCAATCAGTCAGTCGGTCAGTTAGTTACAACGTAGAACTTCGCACTTACATACATCAGTGTTCAAGTCGCTATACCACATTAACACAGAGACGCAACTGTCAGTTCAAATCCCATAGTAGTAGAGGTAATAGAAGTATTAACAATAATCGCAGAGATTAGGAATCGAAGATATTATTCCAGAAGTAAGAAACGAGTACTAGGAAAGGATGGCAGATCAATGGATGAAGTAGTGGAACTTCATCAGTTGAGGTGGTTGGAACATGTGTTACGAATGCCAAACCACCGACTGCCTCAACGAGCTATGTTTTGTGGTGTAGGAGTATGTTGAAAGAAAGCTAGGGGCAGCCAGACCAAAACATGGCAGAAATCCATGAAGTCACTGACAAGTGGACTGAGTCATGTTGGTAGATGTAGACTACCTGGTTGAGGTCCGCGAGACGATAGTCACCAATGGTTAGAAATCTTGAACGACATGGCTCAAAATCGTTTGCGATGGCTCAAGTGCGTCTATTCGTTATGCTCTCTCAAATCCTAATCTTCTGGATTCGTCAGCACCTCTACCATTTGTCTTTCTAACCTTATCTCACTGAATTATACTTCTTGAATAATATCTTCAAACCCTAGTCTTCTTCATTACCATTAATACCTCTACTATCTTTATCACTATGGGATTTGATTTGACATTTGCGTCTCTGTGTTAATGTGGTGTGGCAACATGCACTTATGTACATACGTACGAATTTCTACGTTGCAACTGACTGACTGACTGATTCAAGAAGTAGAATATAGTAAAATAAACTTAAAAAGAAAAAGACCAATGTGATGAAGAATTCAGAAGGTTAGAATTCGAGAGAGAATGAATGCACCTACGTCATTGCAAATGATTTTGAGCCAGGTCATTACAAATCTCTAACGATCGATTACTATAATCTCATGGACTATAACCAGATAAGTCTAAATTTATCTGCATGACTCAGTCTCTACTTGTCAGTGACTACATGGATATAAGCCATGTTTTAGTTTGGTCGCTCTAAATACACTACTACTGTAGTGAAGGAGAACACAGGTGAGGGCAACCGAATTGTATTTAACGAAAATTACACAGTTACTCAGTAAAATCGGAAACCCATATCGTAAACCGTTAACTTGAAAAATATCAGTTCATCATATCAAACTGGACTGTTCCTGTTGCAAAACATCAATCCATTGTCACTATTCATGCGTTTCATACAAATTCCATTGTGTTCTTCTGACTCTTCCTTTCTTGATCTTCCTCCATCTTGTGCTGCCAGACATTACGGTGACACTCACCTCATATACTACTTATAAGTAGCTCGCACCACACTACTACTACCACTACTGATAAAATACTATTTTAATTTTCATCTCACCTCACTGACTCACTCAACTCACTGCACGATGATATCGTGTGACAATTTAAAACTGATACTAATTATATACGTCCGCCGATTCAATGCTATTAATATATATATATATATATATATATATATATATATATAGATGACTACTAACAGACGGCATAGAATGAACGTCATTATCTGTTTCAAATTAAGCATAATTATTATCAGTATTATTATTATTACTGTTATCATTACTAATATTAGGTAAAACTATTTTAAGCAGGAAGACTATAAATTCTCTATCGTGCGTACTCAAAACACATCAACAATCAACATAGTTTTATCATTAAAACAGTCATCTCTGCATTATTGACTTAATTGAAAATGCAGAGTATTCTTTGGTTGTTTACTATTGGAATCGTAAAAAAACAGTAAGTGGTTATAAGAAGGAAGGGGTTGGGAACATGGACCTAAAATTTCTTATTGTGCTTTCATACTTGTAGGGGACTAGTTTGTATTGACATGAGAGTGTAAACACAAAACCCAAAAGACAACTGTTTGAGACCAGCCAGGCACGAGTCTTACTAAGAAAAGTGTTCTAAATGTTAGCCCTAATTTTCTAAAACCCTCACTACGGAGAAGTGGGAAGTAAGGTGAGATGTGACCTTTAAAAACCCTGTCCTTCTATTGTGAGAAAATAGTATCTCTGCAGAGGTTGATTGTCCAAGGGAAACACTTAACTACTTCTGGTCACATCCCTCTCTAAAGTCAACAGCAGAAGTTAGACTTCACATTTTAGGTTGGTGCTTTTAGACTGACTTATTATTCTCCAACTGACCTGCCTAGCATGTTTCAGCCAATATAATTTAGCTGAGTTATAATGATAGCCAGCCCCGTCAACAAGAGAACAGTTGAAGCAGTGCGATGGAAATCGGGCTAATTCCATAGTTTATTAAGAAAAGAGGTGAGTTGTAATGATATGTGTACATGATATATTGTGGTCAAAAGAAAAAATGTTGCTTTTATGTAGATAGAAAGAACTATTTGCTCTGGTCGGCGTTACGTGCTTCTGAGGCGCGGCCGACAAATAACAAACACGTAATAATTAATATCAAAAAGAAGTGGTTGTGCAATTACACAGTAAGTCAGTTACAACGTAGAACTACGTACGTAAGTACACCAGTTCATGTTGCCATATCACATAAGCACAGAGATGTTATTGTCAATTCAAATCCTATAGTAGTAGAGGTAGTAAAAGTATTAGAAGTAATCGGAGAGATTCGGGTTTAAAGATATGATTCGAGAGGTATAATAGCAGTATTTAACATGAACACACATAGACTAACAAAATTAAACGCTACATACAAGAATGATAAACAACTCACTTTTCATCGACACTCAATTTATCTTGTCTATTCGATGGTGGACCAGCACTTGCACTGAAAATTAAAAAAAAGTTTTATATGTGGGGGGGGGGAATAAATGAAACCGATCACAAAAGAATTATGGAGATCAGTGTCTGTACACGGTGAAATCATCAATCAATCATCGTTCGATCAACATTAGAAACCTGGAAGCAATACTGGACGGCTGTTTTGTATTGGTATAGGACTCATCAAAAGTGAGCACTCTAGACTTCTTCTGCCACTTGCAGGATTCAAACCACCCAGGACCTTCGATCTTGTGCGCGAACACCTGCCCTATGGATCGACATCTAACGGTGTGAATGTTTAACTGTTATTAGTCTAGGGGTATATATATATATATATATATATATATATATATATATATATATATCGCAAAAGATGATACTAACAAGCTGATTATGACATACGTCGTAATAATAATAATACTAGCAGAGCGAATCTTGTAGAAAATGAGAGATAGTATGAAGCTAACAGTCATTGATGGCGAAAGCGAGATATTCGTCTACTAATCAAAGGACGAGTCTGTTGTGCGGTAGTTCGCTCCATCCTACTTTATGGCTGTGAAACATGGCCGTTAAGAGTAGCAGATATTCGTAGGTTATTAGTATTCTATTATAGATATCTTCGAAGCATTTCTCGTATATCCAGGGACAACCGAAGTAAGCAATGATGTCGTTAGGAATCGAGTACTAGCTGAAGATGGCAGATCAATAGATGAAGCGGTGAAACTTGATCAGTTGATGCGGTTAGGACATGTGTTATGGATGCTTAACTACTGACTGCCTCGTCGAGCTATGTTTTGTGGTGTAAGAGTAGGTTGGTAGAAAGCTAGGGCTGGACAAACCAAAACATGGCGCCAA